AAGTTGTGAATGTTAAACCGAGACGCTACATGGTCCCCCAAAACAGCGTGGGCAAAGAGTTTCTCCTGAAGCTGATCACGGAACTTCAAGGCGTACGACACAGAGAGCACAACTCCGAACGCCCCTTGGTTTTTGTCGCACTGATGCTCCAGATGGCCGACGGAGTGACGAAGGCAAAGGACATTCGCAAACTCATCAAAACACGCCTTCAACACTGGACCGACGGAAAATTTGCCCCCCTCGTTGACGATTTCATGGCGGAGGCCCGCCTNTACTACTACTACTACTACTACTACTACTACTACTACTACTACTACTACTACTACTACTACTACTACTACTACTACTACTACTACTACTACTACTATATGAAAAACAGAAGTAGTAACAGAAAAATAAGTATTAGTACTTCTTACAATCTCAGTAGTAGCTCTACTATTGGTTTTGTACTACTACTTCACTTTCTTATACTATTTCAATTTTTCTCATAGTTACACTATACTGTAATAGTAGCAATATCATTTGCAATATCATTAGCAAAATAGCTCTACCAGCACTACTAACTGTAGCAGCCCTAGCTCTAGCTTTACTAGTTCTAGCTTTAGCTTTAGCTCTACTACTAGTTCTAATACTAGTTCTATTTTCCACATAGTTGCACTACTACACTGTAATAGCAATACTGTAATATAGCTCTAGCTCTAGTTCTAGCTTTAACTTTAACTTTCATTATCTTTATCATTATCAGTATCACCAGTGTCATTATCATTATCATTATCAGTATCAGTATTACTACTACTGTTATATGAAAAATATAAGTAGTAGCAGAAAAAGTAATAGTAATAGTAGCTCTAGCTCTAGCTCTAGCTCTAGCTCTAGCTCTAGCTCTAGCTCTAGCTAGTCATTATCAGTATCAGTAGTACTACTACTTCATGAAAAACAGAAGTAGTAGAAGAAAAAGTAATACCAGTTGTTGTTGTAATTTCAGTACTAAATTTACTACTGCTGGACTACTATTACTTCTTTTTCTCAAACTATTTCTATTTTTCACATAGTTGTACTTCTACTACTACTATGAAAAACAGAAGTAGTAGCAGAAAAATTAATAGTAGTAGTAGTTGTAATTTCAGTACTAGATATACTAGTGCTGAACTACTACTACTACTTCTTTTTCTCAAACTATTTCAATTTTTCACATAGTTGATATCTTTAGCTCTAGCTCTAGCTCTAGCT